AGGAGAGGAGATGAAGCGGTGGCGATGGCGGCGTTAGGGTTTAGAGTGAGTGAAGTGGTTTTGTGTTTGGTATCGTTTTCAATCATGGCGGCTGATAAGACGAAAGGGTGGAGTGGTGATTCTTATGATCGTTACAAAGAGTACAGGTCACGTCACTCTCTTGTTCTTTACATTTTTTTTAGGGTTTTAGAGTTGGAACTAATAACCAAATTAAGCCTAATGGAGTGAAACTAAGCCTGCGGTTATAAACAGAACCTAACCTGCCAAACTGAATCAAATAGGTCATTCTTCGGTTTAGTTCGGTTTGATTTGGCAATTAAAATTTGGTTTGGTAATTAGTTAATTTGTTTTTCAAAAAAAAATAGAGAAATCGATTTTAAGCAAAATTTTAAATCAAAATAACCTTACTTACCTTTTTGATTTTTTAACTAATTTAAACCCAAATTTAAATTAAGGAATTGAACTAACTGAAAAATCGAATCAAACCAATTTTTTTCGTCCAGTTTGGCAAGATTTCGGCTGAATTGAACTAACTGGCCCGAAAAATACTAACTGATAACCTGAATAGAAATAATTAATTCATCTTCATTTCTTAAATTTGACACCATTTATAAGAGATGTGAATAGTTAATTTCTCTTTTTGTTTTTTTATTTAACACTATTTATAAGAAATATTTTTCTTTAATATTTCTTTTAATTTAAGGAATTACAGAATAAAACTATTTTTTATTAAATCCGGAAAGGAACATTAAAAAAAAAAATATTCTTGTTATTATATTCATTTTCATTCATTTTCTCGTCTTCTCGTTGTCCCTATTATTTTTTTTGGTGGTCATAAAAGTAACTGAATCACATGTCTAATTGAAACATTGGTTTTGAGTCCACAAATGTTTTGGGTTAATTTATATGAACATAGATCCCAAAATTATTTTAAAAAGAATTTTAAAATATATCTTTACAATTGTTTTCAAAATATATGAACATAGACCCCTAAAGCCTTCAATATCTTAGGGTTGGCCGTGCTAACAACACGAACTTTTGCAGGTATTGTTTGGCTGTGAACATTATAGCTTTCATTTACTCTGCATTTGAAGTTTGTGACGCTGCTTGCTACATCGCAAAAGAGACTTACATGTTAAACTGCGGATGTCACGACATCTTTGTCTTCTCTATGGATCAAGTGAGTGCTACAACATTTTTTGCATTTGTAATCAAAACATATTGATTCTCATGAGCTTTGTTTTCTAGCTTATTGCGTATCTTCTGATGTCGGCTTCCTCTTGTGCTGCTACTCGAGTTGATGATTGGATATCTAATTGGGGTAAAGATGAGTTTACTCAAATGGCAACGGCATCAATATCAGTTTCTTTTGTAGCGTTTGTGGCGTTTGCGGTCAGCGCTTTGATTTCTTCTTACAGGCTCTTCACTCATGCTTCCACTTAGCGGTATCTATTTTGTGTTGCCTGAGATCAAATATGGCTCTCGTCTTTGTATAGTCTATATATATACTCTATAGCTTAGAAACCACCATGGTAATGATTCTTGCTACTCAATATATATTTTTAAATAAAGCAAGCAATCAAATGACTAAGAGCTTTCTTGTGTATCAAGGCTTGACTTGTTTTTTTTTATTAACTATCATTAAATTAGGATAGGTGGATAAATTCCAAAATCAATACATGTTCTTACCAGCAAACCTACCATATGAAAATTGTGTTGTATCAATAAACCTAAATCCCAAAACCAGTTGTTGTTCTGTTTATTCTTGGATATATGTGACATGCAACATTCTTGGTCAATCACCACCAGATTCAGAGAACTTGGTATCTGCTAAGCCTGTAACGCGTCACTCACACATGTCTGGTCATCACTAGAAGCTGCTGCTTGGTCTATCTTAGCTTGTGGCTTAGGATGGCGAATGGCCTCGGCTATATGATGGGTAAACGGGCCTTCTGGTAAGGATCTATCTTATTAAAGTAGAAGTACTTTAACCTTTTGTTTGGAAACATGGATAGCAGTATTTAATCTATCTTATTAAAGTAGAAGGACTTTAACCTTTTGTTTGGAAACATGGATAGTAGTATTTAAAATAAGTAAGTTTGGAAAATAGATATCAATATTTAATAAGATCTGGTATTTATTGTTACAAAGATTTGCTATTTATTTAAAATCGTAAATATAATTAATTTTAGTCACTAACAATATTTAAGAATATTCGTTTTTAACAATAATTCGGGTCGGATTACGGGTTGGATTTCCGGGTATTTTTATTTCGGTTTGAATTTCGGGTCGAATTTTTTGATTCGAAAAATTGAACCGGACACAAATAAATTTATATAGATAAACAAACAGTTTCTATGTTTCTAGAACTAAAAAAACTAAGAACGTAAAGAACCTAATAAAAGCTGAACCGAAAATCACAACCCAGTCCTATTATATTCAATATGATANGGGTCGAATTTTTTGATTCGAAAAATTGAACCGGACACAAATAAATTTATATAGATAAACAAACAGTTTCTATGTTTCTAGAACTAAAAAAACTAAGAACGTAAAGAACCTAATAAAAGCTGAACCGAAAATCACAACCCAGTCCTATTATATTCAATATGATAGTTCACATACAACGTGGATCACAATATCTTAAACATAGTAATAATCGATGAGTTCTGAATTTATTACATTTTCTCAAATTAAGTTAAACCCGCGCCGGTGCGCGGGTCAAGATCTAGTTTACATTATTTGTATTAATATAAACGGGCCTCATCAATTCATTAGGCCGCCTTATAAGTTTTGTCTTTTTAAAATATCTCTGTTACTTTATTCAGAAGTTTTTTTTTTACTTGATTCAGAAGTTATATTGCAACTTTGGGGGGGGGGGGGTTTAAGCAGGGCCGTGCCTGAATACAAACCCATCAAGCATGTGCTTTGGGGCCAACAGTGTTAAATAAATTTTAGGGGTCAATTTGTCGAAAGATTAGTTGGTTTAGATGGTTGTGTGGTGGTTCTTTTATCAATTTGGTGGCGGGTTTGATTTATACTTACTACCATTTTGCAAAAAAATATTATAGTAAAGAGCCAATTTTTTTTTTTGTTTCTGTGCCCCAAAAAGTCAGGCATGGCCCTGGTTTTAAGTTGTTGTTTTGTTTATAATAATTAGTGTTGCTTGTTTAATTATGTTTTGATTTGTACAGAAAGCATATGTTAATATATATATTTTGGTAATTCTGATTACAACATTGGAAAGACTATAAAGCCAATGTTTATGCTTTAATAATTCAAGACCACGACAATACATTCATAAGGATCAACTGACCTAATTAAAATCTAATGAAGTTCATCTCTAAGATGATATCTTCTTTATCAAACGAACTCAATAGAATGATAGTTTAGTACGTTAGCTAAAAAAAAAGTAAGAGAATCTTTTACCATGCAAGATGGTAAACTAATGTTGAAAGATATTGGGTTGAATATAGAGGAATAGTGAAGGACAAGATGGTAAGTTAACTATTCCACCATGAAAATGGAAACAAAACACCTTGCAATGTCTGAAAACCAAAAGGCTGGATTCTCTTCTTCTAGCAACTCTAGTTTCTATTCATTATCATTAGGTATAGTAGGTAACGTCGTGCCAAGTTCATACATCAACTTCTATATGACTATTAAAATTTCAGAATTGTTTCATATTAGTATAACGCTCACCAAGTGAAGATAGTTTTTTTTGTTTTTATTTAATTATTGATTCTATATATAAGGCCCGGCAAAAACTATGACAATGCCAATGTCTAATTACCATAAAAAGGAAATAGCAGGGTGCAGGAAGTTTCCTACGAAATTTCATAACACTATTTCTTCAGTGTGAAACATTACCTCAGCAATTCGAATGATATTGATAATACGTTCAAACAAACATAGCAATAGAATTTAATCATTCCACCATGAAAATGGAAACAAGTACACACTTTCAATGTCTAAACCCCAAAAAGCTGAATGTTCTTCTTCTAGCAACTATAATCGTTTAGGTATATAGTAGGTAGCATCGTGCCAACTTTCATAAATCACCATCTTATGAACTATTAAAGTTCATTTCATATCAAAATATTAATCTCACCATGTGAAAGAAACCTTTTGTCTTTCTGAGATGTATTATTGATCCTATATATAAGCCCCTGCAAAGCCTAGACAATGTCGATGTCTACTTGCCATAAAAGGAAAGCGTGGGCATGGTGATTGAAGTTTCCAATGCAATTTCAACAACACCTTTAGGTAATGAAACAAAACATCTTAGTCATATTACCTCAGCAATGCCAGATGACTACACGCTAAAAGAAACATATATATGGCTACAAAATTCACCAGCAATGCCAGATGACTACACGCTAAAAGAAACATATATATGGCTACAAAATTCACCAGCAATAACACATTAGAGCTGCGGTGAAATTACTTGAGTAAATGCATTTTATGTTGTTAATTTTAGTAACATTAATTTGAGAAGTGTACTCTTTAGTACTAAGAATAAGAAGACAAAAAACCATTATTTGTTACTAATATGATAATATATGTTTTCAATCCACACAAATAGTTGAAATAAAAATTAACAAAAAACATAAAACTATGTTAGCACACCAAGTCTTAACACACCATAAGCTTAGTAAAAGCAACAAGTACATAAAACTCAGTCCATCTCAACTTCAAGACTGCTCAGCAAAAGAGCCTTGAAGGAGCCCATCTCTGATCTGAGCAGCCACATCACGAACTGCTCCTGGTCCATGCGGTATGAACACAGCAGAAGACTTGGAACTAGCACCAATCTCCTTCATGGTGTCAAAGTACTGAGTAACAAGCACCATATCCATCACATCTTTAGCAGTTGTCCCTGGCACATTCACAGAGAAACCTAGCACACTGTCGCGTAAACCGTCGACAATAGCTTGCCTCTGACGAGCGATACCTAGACCAGACAGGTACTTAGCCTCAGCTTCACCTTCAGCTCGTTTAATCTGGAGGATTTTCTCAGCTTCTGCCTTTTCGTTTGCAGCAAGTCTCATCCTTGCAGCTATAAAGGGCACAAGAATCAAGAACTCAGATCCACTAGAATAAAGTCTATAAATGAAATGATGGGAAGGTTTTGTTTACCAGCGTTGATTTCATTCATGGCTCGTTTGACATGCTCATCAGGCTCAATGTCAACGATGAGTGTTTGCACAATCTCAAAACCATAAGCAGACATTGCCTGCAAGAGACAGAGAGATATAAAGTGAACATTCTTAACCAATTACAAGAATGATTATTATATGTTTCCTCTGTTTCAATTATACATATTTATACTTTTCCCACATTAATAAAACATATTAATTCCATTTACATATGCTTAAATTTTTGTGCTTATTTTTCACATAATTCTAAACCAATAAGAACAAAGCGCAATTAGGTTTTTTGAAGTTTACAAATAATCATTATTAGTTGATAATTTTTGAAACAATTTTTTTCTTCTAAAAATTATAATTTAATGAAACAGAGGAAGGGAGTATATACCTTCTCAAGCTCCTCTTCAACAGCTTTGGCAATCTCATTCTTCTGCTCAAAGACATCATCAAGAAGCAGCTTAGGGACACTTGCTCTAATCACTGAAAAATTAAAAAAAAAAACTCAAACTTCAACAACACATTCATCACTTTTTAAATCAATGTTCTGACACTTACCATCAAAGACATAAGCTTGGATCTGACTCCTTGTGTTACTTAGCTTGTAATACGCATCATTAGCCTTATTAGCCAAGGCACGGTACTGTATCGATGCAACAACATTAACAAAAACATTGTCCTGTAAAAACAACAACAACACAAACTAAATCAGTACTAAACCAAAACCCATTAAAAGAGATTTTAAAAAGGTTGAAACCTTTGTCTTAGTCTCGCAACGAACATCCAACTGCTGAAGCCTCAAAGATAGGTGACCAGCAACTTGCTGACCAAAGCACCATGGGAGAAAGTGACAACCAGGCTCAAGAACATCTTCGAACTTCCCAAACGTTTCTTTGATGGCTACAGTTGATTGGTCCACTTGTACACAGCACAATAAATTACCCATCTTCTTTTTCTTCACAATCCTAAAAGAAAAATCAAAACTTTTAATTAAAAGTCTAATCTTTCTTCATAATCACGAGAGCCCAGAGAGAAAAATAAATAAAGGTGATGCCTTTTGAGAATTCAAAAGGTTTAAAAACTTAGAAACTTAATAGAGAAGATACCAAGAGAGAGTTTTTAGGGTTTTTTACCGAAAGTTAGCGTCTTTTGATTTTGGGTGAGTTTGTAAGTAAACAGATGATTCCAGCAAAGTTATGATTTATATTCAGTGGGCAGAGAAGAAGTTTATGTAAAGATATGATTTTTTTATTATTTCTATTTGTTACTTCTTATTATTACAAGTTTACACAATATGTCGGTATGAGTTTAATTTTTACAATAAAACCCAAGGACTCTTGTCTAAATAATATGGCAATTAACATATTTTGTAGTTCTTATTCAGATTAAAGAAATAAGTTAGACTTTCTTAGTCTAATTGTTTCTATTTTGTTTTAAAAAATTTAAGCTTTAAACTGTTAGATAGATTTTTTTATAAAGTTGCTTGAAATGATAATATAATTAAAACTGTTATTTTATCCTTGATTTTTTTTTAACACTGATTTATTATGATATTAGAGTTATGAGAAATATTATATAGACGAATGGATAACTGACATTACTACTTATCTTATAATGATCTACACCTAATTACTTTTCTTTATAATTGTTCAATAGATCAATTTTACAAATCTAAGCCTCCAAACATTAATTAATCCTCAGTCAAATTAATTAAAACCGTTACAAGTGAATTCCTCGTAGAGAAATGGTAGTATATATATTTATGTAAGATTTTTATAATTAATAATAAATAATAATATAATAATGTAGTATTAAAAAGTTTTCAAATTTGAAATGATGAAGATCTTTGGGTTTCTATATTTATTTGATCATTAGGCCTACTGTTAGTAAGCCCATATTTGTTTTCTGTTCCCTTGTATCATTCAAATGAAAAAGCCCATATACGTTATTACATTAGTGATGTTCGAGCCTATTTAATTGTCCAACAAAAAAAAATTAAAATCAATCATGTTGCCTAATCGGTTCGGTTAAAGCTAATAGAGGTACCTAAGCAAGTATGGAATATAATTCTGTTAGATTCGAACTCTAGTTTACTATATAAGATTCTTTTCTTTTTGAGCTTTATATAATTATATCAGATTTTTTTCTAAAATCAGTTTCATTCTAAATTTTGCATATGTTCTATAAAACATTTTTTTTCGAAATGCAGCAAAGTTGATCTAAGCATCTACCATGCAATACCACGTCTAAAGATTAACATACTGGTTGTTTAATTAATATCTGGAATACATTTGCTATATTACTATTACTTATAAAAATACCTATTAAATAACTGTGTTAGTTATTCTAAAGATCGATGAACTGACACTCGCACTAAAACTTTATAAATCCGTATTACGGATACCTCTATAAAAAGAAGAAAAAAAAGGATTTGAACTATAGTTTTGATTTGAAATGGATATTTATTTTTATTATTATTATTAAAATTCTCCACTGGGAAACAATGGGTTCAGAACTTACCATACTTATTCGTAATTCTGTCATCATCTTTTTAAAAAAAAAACAATTCTCCCATCTTCTTTTTTCCATCTATTTTATTATTCCTATCACTTTGTCTATAATTCGTAAGGATCACTTTCTCTGGCAAATGATTTTGACTGGACCTCTGCTGCTACTATTACCACTACTCTTATCGGCACTGTTTCGATCTTTATATTCGTTACTATCCGTTTTCAAACATATGAACAATTACTATATGTTTACTATTTTTGGTTCTGTGCTCCTACACGTTGCGTTAATCTAAAGTTGTTGGTAACAACAACGACATGCAATTTAGTATTCCGTTTCTTGTACAAGTTGAAGCGTTTTATACTTTTACGTTGAGAGGAAAAAAACTTTTGTATAAACTTTTACATCAGAGGGCAAAAACTCATGTGTTAACCAACTGTTTTATTTTTAATTACACTCGACAAACTGATCTTCAGACAAAAACAACAAACATATTAACATATGTAGTTTTTTATAACCCTATAGGTTATCCAATCACATCTGAAAAAACACTCTTAATACTATAATAGATCAGCTATCACATCTGTAACCAGATTTGGGCACAAACACTGAAACATTTGTCTTAACTCCCAATTTTTTTGAAAGTATTTTATAGTTATATGCATTCAAATTATATAAAAAATTCTTACAAAATATACCTATTTTATACCTCCAAAAATCTCAGATCCGGTCTTACCTTCTAAACTGGGCATGAGGGTGAAAACTCATGTCATGTGTTAACCAACTGTTATTAAACTTGACAAACTGGTCTTCAGACAGAAACAGCAAACATATCAATCAACGTATGTAATTAAGAACCCACATATATTAAAAGTAGGGTCGGAATTTACCAAAAATCATATATAGTTGATGTCAGAACATCAACTAATTTAAACCTATTACTTCTATGTTTTGGTTGGAGATCGCATATTTTCGTCTAAATTTTCGATTATGTATTATAGTTCAAATTAGCCACGCAGTTTTCCAGCTGACTCGTATGGATAGATTAGAGATCAGACACGAAATTATATGCGTTATACATCTTAGCTAATAGTGGCACATATTCAATGTTGAAGAACAACACATCGGACTTTCTTACAACAAGTACAAGTTATATATGTTCCTTTTTGCCACACAGTACGAGATAATGTTAAAATATCGTTTTCGTGATTCTTTTTAAAAAAACACATTTTGTTGACAAAACAACGACAACATTTTCAATTTTAACAAACATAAAGCTATAAAATAAAGAAACGAAAGTAGAAAAACGAGTTAA